GAGGCCACGCAGGTGACATTGGGGACGTTGGGGGGCAGGAGAGGGTTGGGGACAAACATTTGGGGGGGCTTTGGGGACAGTTTAGGATGATGTAGGGGGGCAGCGCGTGGGGACACTTTCGGGGGGCTCTGGGGACGATCCGGGGACGCGCCCGGGGTCATTGGGGGGGTGGGGCAGGTTTGGGACATTGTGAGGTGACCTGTGGGGGGCTTCGGGGACAGCCTAGGGGGACACGGGGGGGCTCCAGGATGGGGGAATTGGTGGGAGGGGGCTATGGGGACACCGGGGGGGGCAATCCCCGGAGGGTGGGGGAGGATTTGGGGGTGTCAGGGGGGCACTGACCCAGCGGATGAGCGTGGCGTAGGTGTAGGGGGGCCGCACGGTGCTGAGCCGGTAATACTCCAGTTCTGGGGGGGCCAGGGGGGGGTCAGCCGGACCCAGCCCCCCCCCCCCCGGTTATTTGGGGGGACACCCCCACACCCCCAAACCCGGCGCTCACCTGGGTAGAGCCCCCCACGCTCCCAGGGGTGCCCCGGGGGGGGCAGCATCATCTCGGGGTCCCCCTCGGCCTCGGGGGCGGCTGCAGGACCCCAAATCGGGGGGAGCCCAGCCTGGCCCTTCCCGGGGGGGCCCTGTGGGGGGGGCACACGGCTGAGGGGCCGCACGGCTGGCGGGGACCCCAGCCCCGGGCCTGTTTTGGGGTGCGCGCCCCCCTTACCGTGCCGGGGGGGCTCCTCCGGAGGAGCTGCGCCTGTAACAGCCCCAGGCGGTGCCGCTCCCGGGCCAGCTGGGGGGGGGGACACGATTGGGGGGGTCACACACGGGGCTGGGGGGGTGTGGGGGGCACGGCCCGCGAGGGGACACGGGGGTGGGTCAGCAGTTGGGACTGGGGGGGCTCAGAGGGGATTTTGGGGGTCCCCTCACCTGCTGCTCCAGCTCCTGGATCCTCTCCAGCTGCCGCAGGCACTGAGCCACCTCCCCCGGCTCACGGCGGGGGGGCCTGGGGGCGAGTTTTGGGGGTGGGGGGTGAGGATGGGGGCCTGGGATCCCCCCCCCCAATCCCCCCAAGACCCCCACTCACCTGGGGGGCTGCGCAGCGCCGGGGGGCGGCGGGGGGGGGTCGCTGCCGGCAGGGGCGGGGGAGGGGTCTCTGTCGCGGCCGGGGGGGTCTTTGGGGCCCCATTCAAAAGCGGGGAGACCTGGAGCAGTTTTGGGGGGGTTCCCAAAGGGGAGGACGCCCCCCGAGGAGGGGAGGGGCGGCTCTGAGGGGGGCTCACCGTGCGCGGGGGGCAGCCGGGTCCGCATCACCAACACCCCGGGGTGCTGCACGTGCAGGAGGGGCGGGCACGACCCCCCCTCGGGGGGCACCTGTGTGTTTTGGGGAGGGGGCAGGAGCTGAACCCCCCCATCCTGACACGCATCCCCCCCCCCCCCCCCAAATCGTGTCCCGGGCTCTGTCCCGCACCTGCGAGCGCCGCGGGACCCCCCCGTCCGCGCGGGTCAGCACCGTGGGCCGCTCCTGGGGGCTGCGGGGGGGGCGGCGCTGCCTGGGGGGGGTGCAGGGGGTGAGACCCCCCCGTGCCCCCCCAGCGGGTGCCACACGCGTGTGCCAGGCCTGGACACGTGGCCCCCGCAGGGCCCCCCCGCCCTGGCCTGGCCCAGTTACCCCCCAGTGCTCCCAGTGCTCCCAGTACGGGCTGAGCCCGCTCCCGTCTTCCGCTGGCACTGCTCAAACCATGCACCACCGCCCTGCTGAGCTCCCAGTCCATCCCAGTCCATCCCAGTGTCATCCCAGGCCCTCCCAGTAAGCACCGAGTCATTTCCAGTTTCCCCCGGCCCTTTCCAGTATCCCCAGTAAGCCGCAGCCCGTCCTCCAGTGCCTCCCACTCCAACCCAGTCCCCCCAACATTCCCACAGCCTCCCCATTTTCCCAGCCAGTCCCCTCCAGCCCCTCCCAATGCTCCCCAGTCCATCCCAGTCCCCACCCAGTGCCTCCCACTGCTCCCAGTTTCCCTCCCAGTCCCACCCAGCATCAATCCTGTGCCCCCTGATCCCATCCAGCATCACGCTGGTGCCCTCCAGTGTCCCCCAGTGCCTCCCAGTGTCCCCCAGTGGCTCCCAGTGTGCTCCCAGTGTGCTCCCAGTGGATCCCAGTGTCCTCCAGTGGCTCCCAGTGTCCCCCAGTGGCTCCCAGTTCCCCAGCTCACGGGTCCCGGGTGCCCGCCATGGCTCTGGGTGACACCGGGCGCTTCCACCCCCGATTTATAGACGGGAAACCACAGCCCTGAGTCACGGCGGGGGCGGGGGGCCGGGGTGGGCCCCCCCAGACCCAAACAAGTGCCCTAAGACAGCCGGGACAGACATCCCAAAATGCAGAGAAATGTCCCAAAACAGCAGAGCAATGCCCTGAAACGTGTGGGATGAAGCGGCTCGAAATGCGAAGAAATGGCACAAATTGGGAGGGTAGAGACGCCCCAAAGCCATCACGGCAAGACACCCCAAAAACGGGGGGAAATGCCCCAAAAAGAACAGACAGAAACATCCCAAACTGGCCAGAGAGATTGGGAAATGCCTCTGAACAGCTGAACCCCGAAACAAGCAGGGAGAAATGTCCCGAGATGGGACACCCTGAATTGGCCAGGCAGACACCCCCAAATGAGGAGGAAAGCCCCAAAATAATGGCACAGACACCCCAAAATAGCCAGAGACATCCCAAAGGGATGCAAAATGCACCAAAATAGCCAAGGACACCCTAAAACGAGGCAGAATGCCCCAAAACAGCCAGGCAGAAACAGCCTAAAAATGGCTGTAAAGAGGTAACTCAAAATCAAGACAAATCCCCAAAACCAGCCAGGCAAAAACACTGGAAAAAGCAAAGATTGACCCGAAAATGGCCAGGCAGAAACACCCCAAATCCACCAGGCTGAGATGTGCCAAAACGAGGAGAAACGCCCTCGAATAAATGGGTAGAGACGCCTCAAAAAATGGCAGGACAGAGATTCCCCAAAATTCAACAAAACACCCCAAAGCTGCTGGGCACGGCCAGCCCGGAACGAGCCAGAAACCCCCCAAAAGCGACGCCTTGGAGCCTTTGGGGGTCCCAGAAACCGCGGGAATCTGTCCCCCCTCGTGTCCCATCCCCCACAAACGCCGCCAAAAGCCCCGAAACGCCCCAGAATGACGCTGTCGGAAAAAGCAGCTTCAACACCTCCAAAGAGCCGGCAAATGGCCCCAAATCGCTGGGGTACCCCCAAACCCTAAAACCTCACAAAGGGGAAAAACCCCAGGCAAAGACCGCCCACCCCAGGCCCCCCTCAAATTTCGGGGGCTTCTTCCACCTGCAGGCCCTGAGTTTTTCCCTTTTTTCCAAGCAAACGGCCCCAAAATCCACTTTGGTTCCAAGTCAGTTTTTGACGCTTTCTAGCCCTGAATTTGCCGGGTTTTACCCCAAAGCGGCTCTGGGTGTAGCAGCCGGGACCCCTCCCCATTTTTGGGGTGGGGTTGGAAGTTTTTCCACCCCCGGGACTTCCCCGGCTCGAAGAGACGTGAAACTGAGCCCGAGCCGGCAGGAAATAAGGGAGGGGGGTGCGGTGGATTTTTGGAGGGGGTAGAGCAGAGCCAGTGCCTGCCCCCCCCCCATGGGGACCCCCAGCCCACCCCCTGTGCCCCCCTGTGCCCCCCCAGCCCCTCGTGCGCTGCCCCCTGCCCTGGGGGGGGTTCAGGGCACAGCCCCCCTGAACCCCCCAAAATCCGCTCACCGGCTGCACCCCGCACGCTGCCAGCCCCGGCACCCCGCTTTTTATGGGCCCCCCGGTGATGTCAGAGAACACTCCCAACACCCAGGGGGGTCCAGGGGGCCCCCCCAAATCCTCCTGCTCCCCTTCTGCCCCTCTTCCCATGGGGGGCTCTCCAGGCATCAGCACCGCCCCAGAGTTCCACTGGTGCCGAGGCTCCTTTTTTGGGGGGTTTAGGGGTGCTAATGGCCCCCCCCAGAGACCCCACCGCACTCCTCAGCCCCCCAAGGGGAGCAGATATTGGGGGAACCCCTCTTTGCTCCCCCAGCCCCCGAGGACCCATAAGAACGGGGTGGGGGGGGGCATTAACAGCCCCTCAAGGCGCCCCCTCAGTGTCCAGGGCTCCCCCAAACATCGCCGGGGCACTCGGGGGTCCTGGGGGACCCCCTTTAACTCTCAGCGCTCCCCAAACGGCTGCAGACTCTGGGGGGGGACACTTTGCCCCCCCAGGAGTGCCCTTTAACCCCCCACCTTGGTGACCCCGGCCCCCGGGGGTCCCCCCAGCCTCCGGGAGCCCCCCCAAA